ATTACCTCATTGCCCTGCACATTGACTCGGTACTGGTACCCTGTGTATATAGCCAAGTTACCGTTACTCATTGTGAATTTATTATTACTTGTATTATTACTTTTCTATTATTTCTCTATTTTCTTCACTCTGCATTGTTGGGAAGGGCCCGTAAGTAAGCATTTCACTGTTAGTCTACACCTGTTGTTTACAAAGCATGTGACAAATAAATGTTGATTAGAAAAAATTAGATGTGAATATCTAATCAACTTAATAAAAATAATAATAACAATAAATTTTTCATAGAAAAACTATTGCAATGTGCTACAGTGAGTGCATAAGCTAAAAAATGAGGTACATACATATGTATGGCAGGTGGTATTAGATACCAACATTTAAATATAGAGTACTGTACTGCAGCTCAGAATGCACTAAGTGCCACCAGGAATGAAAGTTATTGCAGCAGGATTATTCAATACATTACACGAGTTATCTGTGTTCTTGCTATGTGTCTGCCTTTGTAAGGTTGTGTACCTTGTTGTCTATGCCCCTATTTTTTTTGTTGAGCTTATGCACTCACTGTAGCACATTGCAATAGTTTTTCAATGAAAAATGTATTGTTATCATTATTTTTATTAAGTTGAAATCTAATTTTTTTATATCAACATTTATATGTCTACGTAATTGCTAACCAATAGTGTTCATTTTCAATGTACATATTTTTCATCACTGGCACTACAATCAGACTTTATATAATGTAACTTTTTGGTCCAGACAGTTTGGACAGCTTGGTAGAGGTGAAGAGAGTAGCCACAGCAGACCAGAGCCCAGAGGCATGCAAATGTATGCATGAATAATGAATTCTATCTTTTTCATGTGTAATCTCTGACCTGGAGATTTCTGGAAAAACCAGTCACTAACCTCTAACTTATCTCCAGATCATGGACAGTCGAGTAGAGCTGCAGGCATCTGGGGTGACATCACACGCCCAAGAACATTGGCCCCTTTTGAACTACTCTGTGGCATTTCGGGCCAACTGACATATCCTGGTTCTGTGTCACCAAGTCAAGTGTTATCACTTAAGACCTTTCTGCCCTTTAAAGGAACAAGGGAAGTGGTACTAGGCTACTTCCTATTCCTCTCCTTTTTGTTTAGAGGTAGAGTTAAAAAAAGAGCTCAGCTCATCCTTCCAGATAATTGGATTTTGAGACTTTTATTCTCATGCGTGCGTGTGTAAGGCTTTGTGTGTGTTTGTGTGTGTGCGTGTGTGTGTGTATGTACGTGTCTATGTATGTGTGTGTGTGTGTGTGTGTAAGAGAAACAGAGAGAGGGGGAGTGTGGACATTTTGGGCTTGTATATTTATGAGCATTGTCTGGACATAGAAAATGAGAATGTATGGGATTCTAATTACTGAACGGAGATATTCACATACTGTGAAATTAGAAAAAGCTGTGTGAAACCTCCCACAGGCATGACAAGTCAAAAGAAACCAGTTGTCATGGTGACAGATGCATTCAAATGGAGTCAAATAGAGTTAGCTAGCCTGCAAGAAAAAGGTAGCGATGGATTTTCTATTTTAAATAGAGAATTACTTCGAATTACAGTCGTTCGTGAATCTATGGCTTAATTGCTTTTTTTGTGTTGTTACTTCAAAATACCCCACAAGTTAAGTTAGAACTGCCTTTTTATGTAACACAATTAAGTTCTTAACTTGGCACAAGTTGTCAAATAATGGAGACATTTGATTAAATCTCATTATGATAGAAGCCATCTTATTCTCTCTCTGTCCGTCACTGTATGTATCAAACCCATATGTTCAACAAAGATAATGCCATGGCACTATGTGTGTGCACGTCAACACAACTGCTATTCCTTTACATCTATACTATACTGAACAAAAATATAAACATGTAAAGTGTTGGTCCCATGTTTCATGAGCTGAAATAAAAGATCCCAGAAATGTTCCATGCGCACAAAAAGCTGATTTCTCTCAAATTTTGTGCACAAATGTATTTACATCCCTGTTAGTGAGCATTTTTCTTTGCCAATCCACCTGACAAGTGTGCCATATCAAGAAGCTGATTAAACAGCATGATCATTACATAGGTATACCTTGTGCAGGGAACGAACACAATTGCATTTTATCGATGGCAATTTGAATGTACAGAGATACCGTGACGAGATACTGAGGTCCATTGTCGTGCCATTCATCCGCCGCCATCACCTCATGTTTCAGCATGACAATGCATGGCCCCATGTCGCAGGGATCTGTACACAATTCCTGGAAGCTGAAAATGTCCCAGTTCTTCCATGGCCTGCATACTCACCAGACATGTCACCCATTGAGCATGTTTGGGATGCTCTAGGTCGACGTGTATGACAGCATGTTCCAGTTCCCGCCAATATCCAGCAACTTCGCAAAGCCATTGAAGAGGAGTGGGACAACATTCCACAGGCCACAATCAACAGCCTATCAACTCTATGCAAAGGAGCTGTATCACGATGCATAAGGCAAATAGTGGTCACACCAGATACTGACTGGTTTTCTGGTCCACACCCCTACCTTTTTTTTAAGGTATCCGTGACCAACAGATGCATATCTGTATACCCAGTCATGTGAAATCCAAAGATTATGGCTTAATTTATTTATTTCAATTGACTGATTTCCTTATTTAAACTGTAACTCAGTAAAATCTTTTAAATTGTTGCATGTTGCGGTTATATTTTTGTTCAGTGTATCTGTATAATAAGGCTGTAATGGCTGTTGAAATTTTTTCATGTGGATGTTTAATCCACAAACACTCTACAGTGGTCTGTTTTCATCCAACATAGCAGCCTACACTATAAATCCCCAGGCTTGCTGACTAGACCACCATTTATTCTTCCCTGCATCCCTAACATTCAACCGCACTAATCAAACCTGTGTGGCATCATTGAGCGATCCAGTGCAGTCTATCACACTGTGAGAAATTGGTAGAGACAAAGACTGCCTGCTTGGGGGGGCCTGGAGGCCCAGCCACAACTGAGAAATGTCCATCCATCAGACCAATCACAGGCCCTGAACCAGACCTGGGTTCAAATACTATTTTAAATACTTTCAAATACTGTATTTGTGCTTGATTTTTACATTTTAGCAAACATTCTTATCCAGAGCGACTTACAGTTAGTGAGTGCATACATGTATTTTATTTTTGTATTAAATTTTTTTTCATACTGGCCCTCCGTAGGAAACGAACCCACAACCCTGGCGTTGCAAGCGCCATGCTCTACCAACTGAGCTACACGGGGCCTTGATTTAGCTTGCCTGTTGCAATGGAATCAATAGAAAAGTCTCAAAAGTGCAAAGCCCGCCTACCTGGCACTCCAGGCAGACTAGAGCAAACATTCCAAAGCATTTGAAAGATTTAAAATTGTATTTGAACCCGGGTCTGGCCTGAACCCAACCTCAACCCCCATTGCCTGTAGCCTGTACACAGAGTGGTAAAATTAACCCATGACCTTCAGCCCTCAGGGAAAGAGCGAAGAGCCACAAGACTGTGTTGTGGAGTGAAGTGCAGAGAGGTACCAATTTAATGGATGACTTTAATGATGTTTGCAATAAACGTGATGTAAACATGTATTCTGCACCGTGTGCTTTCTAAACGTGTAACATCTCAGTCTAAACAAACAATTTAAGGTAAATATAGGTTGTGTCCTAAAGGGCTCCCTATCCCCTATATAGTACTTTTGACCAGAGCCCATAGGTCGAAAGTAGTGCAGTATGTTGGGAATAGGTTGTCATTTGAGACGCATGCAACCATTTGGAGTTAAATATAGATTTCCATATAAATCAGCTAGAGCAGCAGGTCTCGATCCCCGCTCTCCCTGTTCCCCCCATTCCTCTTTGTCTGTGTGTTTGAATGTGAACCTTCTGGAGGTCTCTATGAAACCACTGAGTTGATGGTCTACCATCCCCATGCTGGGTCAATGACCTTTCAGTTTACTCCGGTTTTAAAAGGCGCCCCGTAAACCCCTGGTCATATGAGATGAGCTGTGATGTGGTGGGGGGGGGTATCTGTATGTCTGTTGAAACCAGGCAGGGGCTTGTGATGGATGTTCTCGTTGTACTAGTAGACCTTGAATGGGAAGATCTGGTTTGATGTGCATAAGAATGTGCTCTTTTGCTAGTGTTAGAGCACAGTGCTGTGTTGAAATGCTATGACATAGAAATATAATGAGTAGAAGGGGCTTGGAACCTCTGACCATTCTAATTCTATGTGCTAGAAACTGCATGATAATGAAATGAGAACATATTGAACCATCGCTATCTGCGATACTGTATGGCATACTGGTATTTGGTGTAACCTGCTACTGTATGTCTTCACATTATGAGGATAACATTGATAACATTGATGATGGGCGGCAGGTAGCCTAGCGGTTAAGAGGTTTGGCCAGTAACTGAAAGGTTGCTGGTTCAAATCCCTGTGCTGACTAGGTGAAAAATCTGTTGATGTGCCCTTGAGCAAGGCACTTTACCCTAATTGCTCCTGTAAGTCTCTCTGGATAAGAGCATCTGCTAAATGACTTAAATGTTACTGTTACAGAGCTCAGTCTCAACTAAGTCCCGGATTCAATCCAAATGCCCCTTTTCAGCTATGCACCTTTTAAAGGCAATGTTCCCGCGTTTCCAGAGACGTCTATGTTAATATGGCTACAATTGGGCTAGCTAACAAATGTAACGACGTATTTGAAAGACAACCAGTGCTTATTGTGCAAATGTATTGATGTTTTCAAAATACATTTTAACAACCCACCCGTCTGTAAAGTGAGGTGGATCTGAGGAAAATGACAGGAATCTGAAGGAGTATGTTAATAGCACTGGTGTTTCTGTAAGAGCTCATGTTTTATGTTAGATCCCAGTATGAGGATGCAAGAAGAAAAAACACAAAAAGGTTTGATCACATTTTTTTAATCATTATTCCAATAAAAATACATTTATACAGAAATAACTAATTTACAAAAAAAAATTTAAATCAAAAAAACTTTGTTATAATAAAGAAACTCTTTAGTTAAAGATAGGGCCTTTTCCGCAGATTTTTCTACGTTTGTGTGATAGAAAAAAATGGCGGATTACATAACCTACTAATATGTGGCCTGTCTAACACCTCACATTGGCTGAAGTAATATAGGCTGACAAAACTGCTGTTTTGATTTTGATTACAGAAAGCTGTTCAGTGTGTAATCCCTTCAACATTAAGAGTTTTTCATTTCTCTCTGCTGAATCAGTCCCCATCTAAGCTAAAAAATGGAAATCCTTCTCGGACACTGTAGAAGTGAACAATACGTTGTTTGTTTTCAGTTTATTGGGCCATTGATACTCACCCAAGCTAAATCGGTATTCTTGTCTTTCTTGTTTTTCTTAGAAACATACACTGGGTCCCGTACCCTGAAAAATATAAGCTTCTTTACAAAAACTCTATTTTTAAACAACACATATCTTTTGCATGGTTTCGATATCCATAATGTATATTTTAAAAGGGGACCTTTCGACAGTGCTGTTGACCAGATCAACTGTACTGTACAATGGTATAGGGTTAAAACAAGGCAGTCCATCCAGGTCAGTAAGAAAAAAGCATCCACATCCACTGTCAGTTTGAGAGCACTCATGTCAGGTAAGCCTTTAACAGTTCAACAGACACTAACATGCCATGGCCTGACCAGAATGGGTTATTTGCAATAAGTCTTAATTTATCATGGCCTTGGTGGCCGAGCAGATCACATGTCACGAGAACTCAACCCCATAACCAACCAAGAGACTCTATACTTTCGAAAGGAATTCACCGTCACACATTCCATTTGAAGTGCATAACATACCACATTATACTACTACACAGTAGTAAACCTTTTAAAATTATATTGTTTGAAGTGCTTCTACAATTCTGTCTCAGATCAAGGATAATTTTCAAAACATGATTTTTGTCTGGATAGATAGATACAGTATGTATGTTGACAAATGAAGCACAGAAATGTCAAGAAGTATAAAGCTGAACTTTTATTCAAGAGTCTTCAGACCAACCATCGTTTCTAGACAAGGGCAAAAGGTGCAACCATATGAATCGGAGCCTTAATAAAGCTATTCAATCACACACTACTGCATTTCAACCCCCCCCCGTGAGTGATCTATTTATCTGGACAAGGCCACTTACATAAGGCATCATTAAGGTCACAGTGTATTTACAGATATAGAACAAGAGAACAAAAATAAAGAAATTAGTTCTTAAACTGACTATAAATAAACTATCCCATGATCAACACAGTTGCCAAGCAATAGTGGTATCTCCAAACATACAAAACAAAAGAAGGAAACAAATAAATCACTGCTTTATGTTTCTGTACAATACTGTGGTATCTACGGAGTACAATGGATGCATAGCTGCTCATTATTGGGATTTGCCTTCATTATAAGTAGGCCTAATCGAGTGACAAACAAACCCAAGATCATGCAACTTCTGGTATAATGATATATCAATGTTGTGTACAGCCTTTAGATACTGAGCTTACACAATGGACAACAAATGAGCTTTGTAGCATGTACTTTGAGACAAGCTACTTAATACATTGCACATTTAATAGCTGCACCAAACATCAACCCCCCTCCCCTCCTTACACCTCGTTTAGGAGCATGTACCAACTCCGTTCAGATGGTGGCGCTCTCCATCAAACTGACGGCCGGGACACACACACCGCCAAACCCAGCCTAGACTCAACCAACGCTCCAGACAACAGCACAACAACACCTTTGCTTGCATTCATTCATGACCACAACGAGACAATAAAACCCCAGTCAAAAACTCATCATCCCCTCAACACCATTCAGGTCACAACACAAGCCACCCACTCAGGAGTCGTACATCCACAGGCAGGCACCCAGTCACAGGCATTCTTAGACAGGCACCCAGTCTCAGGCAGTCTGACAGCAGGCTCACAGTCAGTCAGTCCACATGCTCACAGGAAACAACATACGTTTATTGGAGTAGTACCGCTGCATATGTTCAGACCAGGAACTAACTCCACAAAGCATCAGACACCATACAGAGAAAAAAAAAGTTTTTTCTTGTCCTCTCAGACATATTCTTTCTTCTCGCTCTCTAGTGGATCTCTTCATTCTCCTTCATCCATGGTGGTTAGAATGTGTCGACCTTTCAGAGCCCTTTCCTCTGAGAGGTCTTGGAGGCACTAAGTATGGTGCAAAAATGGCCTGCATGCTTTTCACTGGAGCACGCTCCCCTCGCTCCCCTTCCTCCCCTCTCAGGGCACTGCAGCCTCCCCACAGACAGGTTAGGAGACAGTCAGGACCATCGCTCAACACCGCTCTGCTCTCCTCTGCTCTGGGGCCCACCGCTTAGATGTGTCTCTTCATGTGAAGCGCCAAATGGTCCGAACGAGAGAAACACCTATGAGGAGAAAGAGAGCATATCAGGCACAGCGTTTTTAGAATAGGTACTAATACTAATATAACAGCTGTGATATTCAAGTCCCCTAAGTCAATATTTCAGGTGCATGGGTTTACCTTAGTTGCCCAAACATTCACAAGTGTTCATGACATTTACAATCTTCCTCAATAAAATAATGAAAACAAACAATAGATAAATCCATCCCTAAACACTTCTCTTACCTGTCACAGTTACTGCATTTAAATGGCTTTGCCCCAGTGTGCTTCCTGAAGTGTCTGGTTAGCTCATCACTTCGTGCAAAACGCCACTCGCAGCCTTCCCATGAACACCTGTAAGGCTTCTCACCTGCAAACAGAAAACAAATTATGTTATTACTGAGTATCAATTGACAGCATGAAGGACAGTGCTCCATTGTTTCCAAATTAGAAATAGACATAACACACTATAAGTGCTACATATTAGTAGATAGAGTAATACAACTTGTAAATATGAGCTGTGGTGTACTGCTTAAAAGTAGTTGAACAAGCAGACATAGTGCTTTTGAAGTGGCTGGGTGAGAAGGGATAAATGTATGGGATTTCTAATGGTGAAAATTACATTATCTCTGGTAACAGTTTGCTTGGAATGTGGAGCCTTGCTAATGTGCAAGACAGCTGTAAAGAGCTTGACAAGCCGAGGTCAGAGGTGACGAAGGAAACCGCTCACATAACTCAGTAACGAATAACAGTAAATGTAAAATTCCCACCGCACTTTAAACTTAAACGATTCAGTCATTTTCTTTTCCCATGGTGAAATGTGATCTGTTTTCAAGATCTAGTCCACATCCTCTATGGCTGGCTTGGCCATGCCCACAAAAGTTTGTTATGTCTTCCCTCCCCCATTCAACGTGAAGTCACTGCTGCTGCTGTGTGAATTAGGTCACAGTTTAGACATTACGTACTAGCGAACTATCCCAAGAATGCAGAGAGCAATTTCATTAAATTAACTAAAAAACAAAGACTCTCTTGTAAACATATTAAAATGTAATTGTTTGAGGTTTAAATTTAGTCCCTCCCGAAACGGAATCATCTTCTGAATGTTCTATGTAAAGTAAATGGCTGCCGATTCAGAACACTGATGACATCATAACGAGCAGGTCTGGATGTCTTGTGACAGCAGCATTAGTATGTGGGTAACAACACCCACCTCCACTCTCTGGACTAGCTTGCTTTACCTGTATAATATTACTACTAAGACTGGGGCCTGGTTAGATAGCTCAGAGCTTCTGCTCTTTTCTATCCATATACAGTATACACTTGTTTGGGAGGAGTTGCTGTGGGGTTATGCATTTACCTGTACGCAATCAACAATTTACCTGTATGTGTACGCTGGTGTGCTTTCAAGTGAGAACTTTTCGTGTAAACCTTTCGGCATCCGTTGAAATGACACCTGTGGACCCGCCTCCTCCCGTCCGGAGAAGCCTCCCCATTGGCTAAGCTTCCCCTCTCCACCGTTCGTCCACCAATGCCCCCTGTCCGTATTTTCCCAGGCGAGTGCATAACTGCCTGTATACCGCTCCACACCTGGGAGGATATGGAGGGGGCCTCCTTGCTCACCTCAGGAGAAGATGGCGGAGTGCTGATAACCATGGAACTCAGGTCCTCTCCCTCTCCCATAATGTCACTCAGTGGGTTGGAGGTGAAGTCGAGGGGAGGGGAGAGCTCCTCGGAGCTGTCGGACGCCTCACTGCTTGAATCGGAGTTAAAGCTGTTGGCCTCTTGATTGTCCTCCTCCTTAATGTGAGTGTGGATCTTTGGGTCGGACTCGGCCTTGTCCCCGCAGGCCAGGATCAGTTTGCTCCAGAGGTCCTCCTGGCTCGTCTCAAACTTGATGTCTGTGGCCGAGACGTAGGGCTCGCTCTGGAGGTACCGCTCCAACTCCAGACATGTCTGATGAAGGAGAGGAGAATGAGTACAGCATGTAGGAGCTAGGAATAAAAACTACCCACAGTATACGGTACATATACACAATGTACTATTCTGAGGGCAGTGGAGTGCATGTAATGGGTGTCCTCTGAGACTCTATGGCTGCTTCCCAAATGGCACCCTATTCCCTTTGTAGTGCACTACTTTTGACCAGGGCTCAAAAGTAGTGCACTATATAGGGAGTAGGTTACCTTTTGAGAAGTAGATTAGATCAGGGAAGGTTACATGTAAACACACTTCCTCGGATGGTGGCGGTGCTCTTTCCACGACATAGCTGTAGTCATGCGCAGTGATCACGTTTACATATGCGACAGAGCCCCCCTGTTGGTTAGGGAAGTGCTTGTAGATATTTTAAATGTTTCAATTATTCAGCATAAGTTGGATTTAATAATGCATCCAGTGGCATAGCTATAAATAACATAGCACACAAGGGAATGGAGGAGGTAGGTCTGGTTCAAGCAGGTCCACAAAAAGCTTTATGTATGAATACTGCAAGAGTTTCATACTGCAAGAGTTATTTTAGGCTTCTAAAAAGGAAGTAAGGACACTTCCTTAAAGCTTGACAATCAGACAGTGGATGCTAACTACAGTATATTAAAAACTATGTCATGCATCTAGCATTCCAAATAATTAATTCCAAACTATAATGGGTATAGAAAACAAATTAAACCCACAATTACAGGGTCAGTTGTTATGTAATATATTTCTGGCAAACCTAAAAACGTTATTAGTGAGGCAATACTTTGTATTCATTGCAAACATTTATTTTCAATAGGGCAGAATGCATCTCTGGCGAGCTTTAAATGCCTCAGGGCATGGAGAGGGAACTTGGCCCCAAGCCCGCATATCCAAGGGAAACTACGTGTAGTGTAGCCTATTTATTTAAATCACCCAGCAAAAAAACAAACATAGTTTCTCGACTATTATGTAATTCCTATAACATGACTGTGAGTTAGTGGGAATTTTGAACAAAATCTGTTGAAAAAGACGCACATAGGCTACTCTTCTCCGGTAATTCCGAATATGATCGTCTCTCTTGCTCTCTCTCACACACACGCACGCACGTTCACACATACACACACCAACTCTCTTCACTAGAATGAACGGCATACGCTGTCTACAGAACGGAATATAAAAAATGTTGCGTCTTGGTTCATTCATTCGATTAGGCTAATACATTGTAACTAATGTATATAATTGCAACATGCGTGCACATGTATTAATAGGCTTACGTCCATTAAACTATGTGTCAAGAATGTACTACAAGTTTATTACAATAGTACAACTTTTTTGTTGTTCTGCATCACTTAGGTATGTTCTGCATTCCTGACTGCTTACATGTTCACTGACAGCAACCTGGGGTTGCGGACAAGTTTATGGCGATGTACATACATTAGCATTATTTGTCACTCATTTTAGAGTGTTTCCATATCAAAATAGGATTATTCATAAATGATCAAATATAAATACCTGCTGCCAGTACTCCTCAAGAGATGGTAAAGCTGAAAAGTATCCGGTGTCATGTACAATCTGGAGCTCCTGAAAGATGCTGCACATAGGAATAACATCCATCTCACTCCTATAGATGCCGCTCCAATTACAACCAAAAATCAAGGTAGTTCAATTGTCTTGTTTTATTTTTCAAGAAAACTTGCGACTTCGATGTATTTGCATGTATAATATGCTGTAGAAAAGCAGTTGGGAGTAGTAGGTCTGACTATCGCCTTACAGTAGTGGTAGCGAAAGTGTTCTTCTGAGAGCGATCTTCCTTGCTTGCTCTAATAGCAAACAGTGAACTCGCTGAAAGTCCGTCGACGCTCTGTAAACTTCCCTATGCAATTTCTTACAGACGGCCTTCCCCCCACGTGATTGCATTACGCTATCGTGATGCCGACCAATGGGTGTGCCAAAGTGTAACACCCGCCTACCTTCTTCTGTGATTTGGTTGGTGAGTTGATCTAAGTCTCCTTCATTTCCATTGGACCATGTGGGCTCTATTTTTAGAGCACTATATAAGGTGTTCAACGCTTACTTCAGCGAAGAACCACATCGCTATCCGTCTAGTATGGGTTCAGCCTACCTTCTGAGCAGCAGTATTGCTTACAGCTTACTATTATTATGGCACGCACGAGTTTGGAAATAGAAGAATGTCTTAACATTTATGCTTGGGTTTGAATTGATATTTTAACCATCCTCATGCGTTAGTTTCCTAAATGCAATAGGGGAGACAGGGTTGGTTGTCTCAAGGGTTGGTTCCGGGCCCGGCTCCACTAGGGGGAAAAAGGGGACTTAGCCCCCTCAGTTGAAACATGTACCACCTCAGTTTGAATTTTATATCCCTATATAAAAATAGCAAAAAAGTTCAAATGATTGAGTGTCAGGTTGGTGCCAAATATGTATCTCCGCTGCGCTGTATCAGCACCATGGACAGAGCGCGCAACAGAATGTGTGTGTGTGTTTGTGTGTAGGGGGGGCTATGGAAAGCCACTGGGCAGTTAGGTATGACTCCTTTATTTCTATACAAAGCAGGAAAAAACGCTTCTCATCTGTGGTAGGCTACGTGAGTAACGAGATACTCCTCCGCCTGTAATATTTCATTTTGATTCATAAGGATGAGGTCAAGTTTACAGTTGAAGCTGTTTCACTCAACTCTGCCTCACACCCCACCACTACAGAGTTTAGTTAGCTTCTTAGCTAGCTGTAAAAGTGTTATTAGCCTATTTAGCTCTAACCTGCTAATCTGCCACTGCCACGATGGATATCAGAAATCAAACCACGAGGCCACCGCCAAGCCCAGCAGCGATGATGCTGTCGAGCTCCAGCTAGCTCCGCGTGAAGAACCCACCCTGTGTTTATGGTAGGCCGGCATTGCTTAATTGTTTACGTGGGTGGGTCGAATTTGATCCACAGAAGTGTATTGTGCCATATCGTAACTCGTTGCTGAACTCATGGGCTGCAGGATTTTCCATGTTTGAAGTGGGCCTATAGGCGTATTTAGTTGGCAAGACAGCTTTGCAAAGCTGCATCTCACTGTTGTAGGCTATAGGCTATGTTTTGGTTATTTGTATCTGCCTTGTTTACTGCTTTTGTTCACTGTTAATGTACCTAGCCTAAATATAAATGTTCTCTTTCCTTTATTGATCTGATATTTTGTTTATAGGCCTATAGGAGGCCTACCGCTGTTTTGTTCTGTTCACATTCATTCGTTCGCATTCGCAGTTGTGTCGGTATTCTTAGCCAAACTGCTATTCAGTATTTTTGTTATGCATGAATAACTAGGCCACTACTTTCAGCATTTAGTTTGCATAATTTTGGTAAGACAGTTGTATGTACGGCTGCATTCACATAGGCTGTTTGTAACAGGTGAATTACCTTATCTATCTTCTAGCCTATATTTATTGCCAAATAGGCCTTGCTTTACTGTTTAGGGCGCTGTCCATTGTGCTAATACAGTGCAGCAGAGATGGGCTACAGATTTCGCGCCAACCTGTCAGTTCAAAAGCACTTAATGGTCTCGGAGTCTTGGCATTTTAAATTGATTGTGGTATAGCCTGATATAAGCAGAATTCAATGTAATTCCAATGCAAAAACCCCCAAAAATTGTGCCCCCTCACCAATTTTAACTGCCCCCTTAGTCACTTTATCCTGGCGCCGGGTCTGGTTGGTTGTCACGGTGCTTATTACTCCCAATCTAGAGGGTGCTGTGTAATAATTTAAAGATAAAAATGTGTGAATTCTTTGAAAGAACTCATCCACCTGGTCAAGTCATGTCAGTATGACAAAACACTGGTGAGGGGAATTTGTGTTTTTCATAGGTGAAAGTAAAACAAAAAATGTCTTTCTTTATAAATGTTTGAATTATGGGATTATACATGACAAAATATGTTTGTTGAAAAGAGGAAAGGGATAACTATATTACAAACCTATCTCTGAGTTGCTAGGTTAAGCCATGTGGTACCTAGCATCTTAATTAGCATTGGGGTGGTGGTTGGGGATGGTTGCCACACATGGAATGTGGCATTGGTTGTCACTATCAACTCCATTATAACCATATTGTTCGGGGACATTGCCACAGCCAGTATACAATAAATCCCAAGTTCTTTTTTTGCTGTTGCTATGAATCAAATCAAATCAAAGCTTATTGGTTGCATACACAGATTTGCAGATGTTATCATAGGTGCAGCAACATGCTTGTGTTTCTAGCTCCAACAGTGCAGTAATACCTAGCAATACAAAACAATGCACACATAATCTCCCCGCAAAAAAGAAAGAAATTAAGAAATATCAGAACGAGCAATGTCAGAGTCCGGAATATAAATATATCTATATCTACACATCTGTGAGACGACTTACAATTAGCAAACGATGTCTAAACAGCATCTTCCCGATATATAATGAATACACCATTGGGCAGAGGTATCTGTGCTATCTAGGTTTGTTGCATCTCTCTTTCACAAACAAAACGTTTCTGTCACACACCCACACAAGTACTCAAAATGTCATACAGTGAGGGAAAAAAGTATTTGATCCCCTGCTGATTTTGTACGTTTGCCCACTGACAAAGAAATGATCAGTCTATAACTTTAATGATAGGTTTATTTGAACAGTGAGAGACAGAATAACAACAAACAAATCCAGAAAAAGGCATGTCAAAAATGTTATAAATTGATTTGCATTTTAATGAGGGAAATAAGTATTTGACCCTTCTGCAAAACATGACTTACAGTGGGGGGAAAAAGTATTTAGTCAGCCACCAATTGTGCAAGTTCTCCCACTTAAAAAGATGAGAGAGGCCTGTAATTTTCATCATAGGTACACGTCAACTATGACAGACAAATTGAGAAAACAAATCTAGAAAATCACACTGTAGGATTTTTTATGAATTTATTTGCAAATTATGGTGGAAAATAAGTATTTGGTCACTGTCACGATCGTCTAAATCAGGAGACCAATGCGCAGCGTTGCGAGTGAACATGATGACTTTAATTAGAGTAAAGCACGTAACTACAAAACAAAAGACGAAAGTGAAGTCCAACAGAAACAATACCTGAACTTGGAACAAAAACCCACAACCCACATGCGAACACAGACAGTTTAAATATGGCTCCCAATCAGAGATAACGAGCCGACAGCTGACACTCGTTACCTCCGATTGGGAGTCACACACTACAACAATCAACAACCTAGAAATAGACACACAGAACTCCCAACCTAGAAATAAACGTGACAGACATGCAAACATAAAAAATCACCCAAAACCCAACAAAACAACATACACCCTGGCTCAAATACACAAGTCCTGGAGCCAGAGTGTGACAGTCACCTACAAACGAGCAAGATTTCTGGCTCTCACAGACCTGTAACTTCTTCTTTAAGAGGCTCCTCTGTCCTCCACTCGTTACCTGTATTAATGGCACCTGTTTGAACTTGTTATCAGTATAAAAGACACCTGTCCACAACCTCAAACAGACACACTCCAAACTCCACTATGGCCAAGACCAAAGAGCTGTCAAAGGACACCAGAAACAACATTGTAGACCTGCACCAGGCTGGGAAGACTGAATCTGCAATAGGTAAGCAGCTTGGTTTGAAGAAATCAACTGTGGGAGCAATTATTAGGAAATGGAAGACATACAAGACCACTGATAATCTCCCTCGATCTGGGGCTCCACGCAAGATCTCACCCCGTGGGGTCAAAATGATCACAAGAACGGTGAGCAAAAATCCCAGAACCACACGGGGGGACCTAGTGAATGACCTGCAGAGAGCTGGGACCAAAGTAACAAAGCCTACCATCAGTACCACACTACACCACCAGGGACTCAAATCCTGCAGTGCCAGACGTGTCCCCCTGCTTAAGCCAGTACATGTCCAGGCCCGTCTGAAGTTTTCTAGAGTGCATTTGGATGATCCAGAAGAGGATTGGGGGAATGTCATATGGTCAGATGAAACCAAAATATAACTTTTTGGTAAAAACTCAACTCGTCGTGTTTGGAGGACAAAGAATGCTGAGTTGCATCCAAAGAACACCATACCTACTGTGAAGCATAGGGGTGGAAACATCATGCTTTGGGGCTGTTTTTCTGCAAAGGGACCAGGACGACTGATCCGTGTAAAGGAAAGAATGAATGGGGCCATGTATCGTGAGATTTTGAGTGAAAACCTCCTTCCATCAGCAAGGCAATTGAAGATGAAACGTGGCTGGGTCTTTCAGCATGACAATGATCCCAAACACACCGCCCGGGCAACGAAGGAGTGGCTTCGTAAGAAGCATTTCAAGGTCCTGTAGTGGCCTAGCCAGTCTCCAGATCTTAACCCCATAGAAAATCTTTGGAGGGAGTTGAAAGTCTTTGTTGCCCAGTGACAGCCCCAAAACATCACTGCTCTAGAGGAGATATGCATGGAGGAATGGGCCAAAATACCAGCAACAGTGTGTGAAAACCTTGTGAAGACTTACAGAAAACGTTTGACCTGTGTCATTGCCAACAAAGGGTATATAACAAAGTATTGAGAAACTTTTGTTATTGACCAAATACTTATTTTCCACCATTATTTGCAAATAAATTCATTAAAAATCCTACAATGTGATTTTCTGGATTCTTTTTCCTCATTTTGTCTGTCATAGTTGACGTGTACCTATGATGAAAATTACAGGCCTCTCTCATCTTTTTAAGTGGGAGAACTTGCACAATTGGTGGCTGACTAAATACTTTTTTCCCCCACTGTAGTACTTGGTGGCAAAAGCATTGTTGGCAATCACAGAGGTCAGACATTTCTT